TTTTTTTTTTTTTTTTTTCCCCTGTGTGTTGATCTGCGAAGGCCGCTGGCAAGAGCGCCGGCACCGAAGTAGAAGTCGCCACCGGGCACCGCATCATGTACCACAAGCTAGGCACCAAGAGCTCAGAAGATCAGGTACAATTTGGGGGGCAATGGCCATGACACGGGGACACACGACACACACTCGGGGGGTTAGACAGCCGCCACCCTCGCCACTGTCGTATGCCGTTGTTGCACCCTGGCGTTGTCGGCGCCTTGCATGGGTATGCACAGCTACCGGAGAACGCCATGTCCTTTGAACTAGTTTTTCTACTTGCTTTTTTGGCGAAGTATTCACAAACTACGATTGTTGTGTGTGTGTGTGTTTCTATGTCGTTGTGGTAGCTTTTTTTTTTCTCGCTTGTTTTGCATTACCTAGTGGCTCGGTGTGTTGCCTTCAGTCGCCATTTGATCTTTTCAGCGTCCGCCGTGTGTATTTTATCTTATACCCCATCAATGTATTTCATTGCATTGTATGATAAGAAATGGGCATGTCCCGCCTCTAGGCTGCGCGGCTCCGTGAATCACTTTGATGAAGGCATCCATGGCGGATCTACGGCGAGCGTTGTGTCGTTTCTCTTTGTTTTTGTTCGTCTCGCGTGTTCGCCTTTCCCACCGGCACGTGGGGGGGATCTCCGAAAAGGGTCCCATCTCCCGCACGTCTGTCTAGGACGATCCCATCTCCATTGGCCGACAAGCTTCATTTGGTTGTTGTTGGCTATCGTGCGTACCTTCACCGTACACGTTTCTCCATTTTGTCATGCTCTCGTTCCGCTTGTGTGTTGTTGGTCTCCACCACCCACGTGCGGAGGCGATCTTTGAAACGGGTCCCATCTCCCCTCTCCCTCTGCCCACAACCTATCACATCGTTGATTGATTGGTCGATGGGTTGGTGACTCTATTATACAACTACTGGTCGTCGGTGTGCCTCCCACCTCCTTTTCTTGTGTGTGTGTGTGTGTGTGTTTTTTTTTTGTGTGTGTGTTGGCAGCTGGTGTACCAGTCTCCCCTGGACGAGAAGTGGCTCGCCTCCAGCATCATGTCCGACGACTGGAAGACCCTCATCATCAGCATCGGAGACAGCTGCGACCCGGTCAACAGGTAGGGAAGGGAGGGCGGTACCCTTCGTAGGGTTTTGCTGTTCAAGTAAACACGTTGGATACAACATACAACTGGGGAAGTCGGGTTAGGGTTAGGGACAGTTTCTTGTGTGCCCCCTCCAGGTTCTATTTCCTCGTGCACTAGTTTCTTGCGATGGGGGGGCAGGGAGGGACGCCGGGCTAACCATTTAGTAGAAGTGTAGTGCTTCCATGCGCATCCATGCACGAGGGAGTGAACGCGTTCATGCATGAGTGAGTGCACATCGTAGTTGAGGCTAGGCGTAAAGGGCATATTCCGATGCTATTAAGTAGTACGAAAGGGTGTAACATGAAGATGAGTGGGAAGGACAATATTGTCCGATGCTAGTAGGACATGAATGCCGCCGTTCTTTAACACTACCGTTTGATTAGAAAAGCCTGTTTGTGTGTGCGGTTTGGGTAATAGTTGTCTGTGGCCACGGAGGGCGTGCGCGTCAGCTGGACCGGTGCCGATGTTACAAGGTACCGAGCGGAGACCGCAACAATGTTGAACGGCGTGAAGACAACACTACAAACAACGCAGTAGCAACCGTAACAACAACAACAACAACAACAACAACAACAACAACAACAACAAGCCTTGAAGCTAGCTCCGTACGGAGCGCGACACCTAACAAACAGCTCCTCGTCGCTGATCTCCTGTTGTTCTGTTCCGGTACGACACACACACACCGCAAAGGCTGTTCTACCGTGACCTCTCTGCCTTCGACGGGCATGACGTGGGCACCATGGGCAAGGTGGTGAAGCTGGTAGACAACTTCGACTCCCTCTACGACTACGTCACCAACGAGGGGAGGACTTTCTGGTTCAGGAGCAACATGGACGCTCCCAAGTATAAGGTGGGCCAGGCAGCCAGGCAGCCAGGGGGGGGGGGG